CGTGCTGGTGCGGGCGGCGGCAACATCGACACAGTCGGTCTCTCCTCTGCCAGGGGTTCCAATCGTGGCAGCTCAGAGTCACTTCACGAAGCACAGCAGAAACGACTGCAGAGTCTTAATGATCCCACAATGACGGCGATGACTCCACTCAGTACTGGTACGACTGGGCTCTCACAGCAACAGCATGTTGCATTAGGTCCCTCTCGACAACCACCCGTCGTAACTACCACCACACCCTACACTGTTTCACTGTCACCCGGTTCCAATAGTGGCCAGCCCTACAAAGGTCCACCCTCTCAACAGGCCTATCCTCCAGGCGATTTACCTCCAGATACTCGAAGACCTACCGATGATACTGGTCGAACAGTAGGTCCCAATCAGAGGTTGGTCAATTCCTTACCTTTTGGAATCCATAAGGTTTTGCTTTTGCTAGCTTTTTTCGTATTTGGCATGTAGGACATAATTCGGAATTGCGAGCCATCGGTCTGACACGAAACTGATGGACTAGTATATGCGTTTGTACCTTACTTATTCCTGTCATTATTCGCGCGGGCCTGTGCTTACTTGCCCTGTTTTGACTGTGTGTTCCTGAGGCCAATTTGACCCTGTCATACGAAACAGTCAGAATTGTTTCTTTGGCATAGTAGGAAAGTTTTTGTCATTTGTCACAACACCATTTTTTAGCCTTATTGATGGGTCCCTCAGTTTCTGCTTGTTCTAATCTCCCCAAGAAATTGAGCTATAAAAGCATAATCACCCCAGTCTCGTACAGTCCTCCCCTCCCCATGGAATTTATTGGCAGTTATTTTCGATTAGAACTGGCAGACCATGAGTGTATTTCCGTAAGAGCAATTCCAGCTGATGAAACGACCTATCTCGGTGCTTTGCCTATTGGTTGGCTTGTCTTCCTAGTTGCTCTTGTTAGTCGAATCTTTCTTCCCTGGAGGCCAATACTTTTGCTAACCGTGCTCCTCTTCGAGCATTTGTCGCGTATCGATTGTTTGGGGTCTTAGTATGTCGATGACGATAGGCCTTAATTATTAGGCTCTCTACCAAAGAATGCGAAGATTTGGGAATCCGTTTCTGATTCACCTACCACCAACGAAACGTCATCACACTTTTCGGGCATACCTGTCTGTATTTTGACCTTACCTGATTAAATCGCAAAATGGAGAGCTGCCCGTTGCCCCATTGTATAATCCTACGGCTGTCATCGTCACGCCCTTTTCGTCTAGAAGTTCGCTTCACCCTTCTGCCCCAAAACAGCGCGTTTTTCAGCGTTCTCTGACAAAACTTTGTGTTTTCGCTCGAGAGCCCAGTCTTTTCTTATAATTTTTCCTGGCACGCTTCTATGCACCTTCATGCAGAAAAGACTCATGTCGGCTGCTGTCCTCTTTGAACGAAGGAGCTTCGTGTGGCAGAAGTATTTGTCGTCTCCGAAGATTTTCGCTTCTCTCCGATGCACCTGAATGTATGCCCCATTCCCTTCCCTTCACTTGCGCACAGATTCTCTAACGAACCACCTGCAATGTCCTCGATGCGCTCGATGCAACCACAACCTGCACCTGCCGTTAACGAGGAGCGTTGCATTGTATGGGACGGACAGATTCTCG